ATCACTAATCTTTATGATACTAAATTGATAGCTTATCACTAATCTTTATGATACTAAATTGATAGCTTATCACTAATCTTCATAACACTAAATATCTAGCTTATCACTAATCTTCATAATACTAAATATCTAGCTTATCACTAATCTTCATAACACTAAATATCTAGCTTATCACTAATTTTCATAACACTAAATATCTAGCTTATCACTAATCTTCATGATACTAAATAGATAGTTTATCACTAATCTTCATGACACTAAATAGATAGCTTATCACTAATCTTCATGACACTAAATATCTAACTTATCTAAATTCATAGCTTATCACTGATCTTTATGCTACTAAATTCATAGCTTATCACTAATCTTTATGATATTAAATTGATAGATTATCACTAATCTTTATGATACTAAATTGATAGGTTATCACTAATCTTTATGATACTAACTATCTAGCTTATCATAGATCTTCATAACACTAAATAAATAACTTATCACTAATCTTCATAACACTAGATAGATAGCTTATCACTAATCTTTATGATACTAAACTGATAGCTTATCATAGATCTTCATAACACTAAATAGATAGCTTATCACTAATCTTTATGATACTAACTATCTAGCTTATCACAAATCTTCATAACACTAAATAAATAACTCATCACTAATCTTCATAACACTAAATAAATAACTTATCACTAATCTTCATAACATTAAATACATAGTTTATCACTAATCTTCATAACACTAAATATATAGCTTATCACTAATCTTTATGATTCTAAACAGCACTTTACAGCTTACCTTCAAGATGTTATACAAGAGTTTATCATGTAGAATAACTGCAGCACAAATCCCACCATAGGCAAATAGAAAAGCTCTGAATAGAGTAAAGACACTATTGGCTGCAGCCAAGGATCCATACACCGTCAAATAAAATGTCAGGTTATTGTCTGGTACAGTGCCATTAGTCAAGTTTTTACCTAAGAGTTCAGAAATGCTGTGGAAAATAGTAAAAACTAATTCAATCATTGTCGAAATGGATTAAACATTTCTTTTTTGAAAACTTAATAAAACTAACTTGGTACTACAATTAGTTCTTACTCAAGATTTTATTATCACCTTTAGATGAAATAAATATCACCTAAAACAAATAGTTATTGAAGTTTTATTACAAATGAAGTATATTATTTTCAACTAATAAGATAACTATACTTACCCCACTGAGTTATCTATACTGCCTGAATGTGGGTGGTTAATGTTAGTAAGGTTTAAATCACCCTCAAAAGTATGAGATATCCAGTAGGCCAGCCACCAGTCAGACAAGGTTCGTGATGCTGGAAGATAAATATTAAAAATATCAATGCGGATTACCTGTCACTCTTCTAAGAAACAATTTAAGTTTCTTCAACACATGTTGAGGATGACCACATCTACATCGTAAATTTGTTTTTTTCATAGCTGTAGTAAATCTACTTAAGTTACAAAGAAATCTTGAACAGTGATTTATTTAAATGTAAGTAGCATTATAGTATAAACTTAAACAACTCTTACTTTGCATTAACAGAAGTGCTAAAAGGACACAAAGACCTAAAACACTGCCCACAGCAAACCAGTAAGATTTATATACATGGAACTGAACAGTGCCAAATTCCCGTTCTTCATCTTGGATGAGCCGACCAACTCTGTGATCATCACTGAAGTCAGTCGCATTAACCAGGCTTACACTTTCCACACTCAAAGTCTCTGGGGTTAAATTCTCTGGAGACCGAAAAGAAAACCTAGGACTGTTGGAGGTCATCTTACTCGTTGACGGTTCATCACCAAAAACTGATTCTTTAAAAGTGCACATGGGATATGACTGAAATATTATTGATGGAGGTCCTACACAAAAACATTAATTTATTAATTTACATTCAGCACTCTTGTAATTAATATTGAAGTTCCTAAATACAATAAACAGAAAGCAATTTTGTAAGTTCACTACAATAATGATCTTGCTGAGAATGAATAGTAAGTACCAGCGGTTCAACTTGTACTTGAACAAAAGTTATAAAAATCAAACTGTTTTGTATAAGAGCTAGCTTTTTTATTTAAAAAGCAACACATAATAAATGTTGTGTTAAATATTTTTTTGATTAGTAAAATGGTGTTTTTTTTTATCCAAGACTTTATTACCTTAGGAAGCCTAATGAGTTTAACAATTCAATTAAGTATATTAAATCATCACATTAAAAAGCATACCACATGATATACAGAAACAAGAACAAACTAAAAAAACATTTCCTCTAAATTCTCCTGATTTCTTAAGATGATCAATTATGTTTCAAAAGTTGTTGAAGTTAGAAATTTTGCCATACTTTCATTTTAACACAGGAGTGGATTGTTATATTTTACACACAGACACTGATTGGATGTTGCAGTGCATAAAAAAGGCTGATTGGATGATGTACTCAACTTGTGTCTGATTGGATGATGTAGTGTCCAATTACAAAACAAAGTAGATTAAAAATAGTTATGTATGAGAACTAGGGACATCAACTTCCCAATCTGCCCTTCAAGAATATTAGAACCTCAAGTATGAACCAGCTTTAACCAATTAATAATTTATAAAGTTTTAAGTTTTATAACAAACCTGCAAGCAGTGAATAATTAAAACGTAAAAAGCATTGTTATAAACAATACCTTGGGCAATTACCCGTCCTTTTTCCAATAATATCACAAAGTCCATTTTCCAACAGAACTGAGTGTGATGTGTACAAATGATTCGAGTTTTGTCCTTTAGAAGCCCCAAAATACAGCAGTTAAATAAATGTTCTGCGACATGAGGATCCACAGCTGAGAGTGGATCATCAAGAAGGTATATGTCTAAATCCTAAAACATATTCATCAAGAAAGTCACTATTTAATTACAGAATGCAATAATCAAGTGAAGTCTTGAAACACAATATTGATTCATTTCTCTTTCATGCTCTTTTTTTTATGGAAAATATGTTTAAAACTGACTACATATAATAAGTTTGCAACTATAAATTCAAAAAAATTATATACTTAATTTATCTTTTACCAACAAAATAGACTTTTACATTTTATTTTAAACAAGTACAAAAGGTATATGTAGTTTTTCTACCCAATTTAGGACAATTTTCTCTGTCATTTCATTTAAAACTTTCTTTCAAGAAACGAGGTGATCTCTAAACCTTGAGAAAATTCCATAATTTGTTTTCCAAAGACCCTTCATTTGATTACACTTATACAGTGAAACCTTTACAAAGTTACAGAGTATAATGTATGGGTGAAGCCTTTACAAAGTTACAGAGTATAATGTATGGGTGAAGCCTTTACAAAGTTACAGAGTATAATGTATGGGTGAAGCCTTTACAAAGTTACAGAGTATAATGTATGGGTGAAGCCTTTACAAAGTTACAAAGTATAATCTCTGGATGAAACCTTTACAAAGTATAATCTGTGGGTGACTAACAATGTATTCTGTAAGTAAAACCTGTATAAAGCTACAGAGTATAATCTGAGAATGAAACCTTTATACAGGTACAGAGTATAATCTGAGAATGAAATCTTTATATAGGTACAGAGTATAATCTGTGAGTGAAGCCTTTATAAAGCTACACAGTATAATCTGAGAATGAAACCTTTATATAGGTACAGAGTATAATCTGTGAGTGAAGTCTTTATGAAGCTACAAAGTATAATCTGTGGGTGAAACCTTTATGAAGCTACAAAGTATAATCTGTGGGTGAAATCTTTATAAAGTTACAAAGTATATTCTGTAAGTAAAACCTTTATAAAGCTACAGAGTATATTCTGTAAGTAAAACCTTTATAAAGCTACAGAGTATATTCTGTAAGTAAAACCTTTATAAAGCTACAGAGTATAATCTGAGAATGAAGCCTTTATATAGGTACAGAGTATAATCTTTGAGTGAAGTCTTTATGAAGCTACAAAGTATAATCTGTGGGTGAAACCTTTATAAAGTTACAGAGTATAATCTGTGGGTGAAAACTTTATAAAGTTACAAAGTATATTCTGTAAGTAAAACCTTTATAAAGCTACAGAGTATAATCTGAGAATGAAGCCTTTATATAGGTACAGAGTATAATCTTTGAGTGAAGTCTTTATAAAGCTACACAGTATAATCTGTGAGTGAAGTCATTATACTGTGTAGCTTTATAAAAGACTTCACTCACAGATTATACTCTGTAGCTTTATAAAGACTTCACTCACAGATTATACTCTGTAGCTTTATAAAGGCTTCACTCATGAATTATACTCTGTAGCTTTATAAAGGCTTCACTCACGCTATAAAGCTACAGAGTATAATTCGTGAGTGAAGTATTTATAAAGCTACACAGTATAATCTGTGAGTGAAGTCTTTATAAAGCTACAGCGTATAATCTGTGAGCAAAACTTTCTGAAGGTGTAGCTACAGGATCTAGTCTATATTAAAACATTTACAAAGCTGGATACTATAACGTTGGTGAAGCCTTTATAAAGCTGGAGTTAGACTACAATATGAGACTTTCAAAGACATAATTGGTATAATTATATGGAAATCATAAGTTTTATTGACTTAATAGACATAACTTACTAAACCAAGAAACCCAAATAACTCTAGAAACAACAACAGGTTTTTATAAATCATGTACAATTTCTGAAGCACTTGTAAAGTTTTAAATTTAAAACTACCACAGCAGTACAAGAAGTTTCATGACAATGCTAAAGAAACTTTCCAATAATATTTCTCTAACCTGGTATACAGCTCTACCCAGAGCAACTCGAGCCTTCTGTCCACCACTTAATGTGATACCTCCATCTCCAACTTCAGTTTCATCTCCAGCATGGAGCTCCTGAGAAACATTTACCTCTCACCATAAATATAACACAAATATGTAAGCAATTTACTTGACACAAAGAATTACACAGACAAAACCCTAATGTAACATCCTTATCCTAAAAGAACTACAACTCCAAGTTGAACTAAATTTCACCAGACATTAATTTATATCAGAAGATGCCTGAAGTAGCTTTTATTATGGATCAGTATGTGACCACATAGAACATCTTTTGTTCAGTTCTGAAACATGCTTAACCATTTCCAATAACACAAGTGATTTTCAGTATGCCTCAAATGAAATCTAGTTCCTCTCAGACAATCAGTTTTTAAAATATAATCATGTTAATTTTGGGCTCTTTGTGATCGCTCCCCTATTATTCTTGAAATGAAATTTCAATATAACTTGTAAAAAAAACTTTGATATTATGAGTTGTTGTTTTTTAAAAACAAAGTTACTTTTCAACATAAAAATATTAAACACTTTCAAGAAAAGTAAAGTAACACAGTATAAAATATACAATTAAACTTCCTCAAAACCTGGTAACTTATCACTGAAAACATTGGCTTAAGTAGCCTCCTTAACAATTATGTAAACCGATAAGTTTCTAATTGGTTTACATACCTTCAAGTCATCCAAAAAGGCACAAGCTTCTAACACACCTCTATACTTCTTCTCATTATATGGCTTTCCAAAAAGAATGTTACTACGGACCGTGCTGTTTTGAATCCAAGCCTCTTGTGAAACGTAACCAATCCCATTCCTGATATCTCCTTGGTGAATATGGACATAGCCTTTTTTGCACATCAAGTCAGCAACAAGGGCAGATAACAGGGAGCTCTTCCCACTTCCCACTTTTCCAATGATCCCAATCAGCTGCCCCTAAAAACAATTTAGAGAATGAATTATAGAATATGTCTGAAATATAATATACTATGACCTGACAAAAACGATACGCACATTATTTCCGATCTGAAAAACAAAAACTCTTTAAGACCCAAACCCAAATTACAAAAATGTAATAACTGTGATTAATATCAATTTGTGTGTTCACTCATGACATGCAGTAAAAGTGTTCTTACAAACTCCTTTATTTAAAAAACATTTTACAGACACTGATATCTTTGTCTGAAAATGCATTCAATTTTCAGTTTTACTTTTTAAAAAAAAAGTTATCGTCCATCAATAAGCCAGTTTGGCTAGTGATTAGATTCAATCTGGTTATTCCTTATTTTCCTGTCATTTATCTGTTAGCTAATGAATCTTCACTTCTTCAAGAATCTTGCTCCTATCAGTACGTCAATAAGACAGTGAATACATTAACTTTACTTCTCCAAGAATCTTGCTCCTATCAGTACATCAATAAGACTGTGAATACATTAACTTTACTTCTCCAAGAATCTTGCTCCTATCAGTACGTCAATAAGACAGTGAATACATTAACTTTACTTCTCCAAGAATCTTGCTCCTATCAGTACATCAATAAGACAGTGAATACATTAACTTTACTTCTCCAAGAATCTTGCTCCTACAGGTATTCCACTAAGATAGTGGTTAACCATTACTTCACCAAAACAAATGTAGCTGTTGTCAGTTGTCTGTGGGTTATATTAAATATGATTACTCTTTACTTCACCATGAATGTCATCACCTGTCGATAGGCATGTTGAAAAAAGTTAAACTTGTAACACCTAAATCATTACTTGATATTTTCAATATTCAGTTCCTACAGGTTAAATGACAAGTATGATACTCACTTTAAGTCCAAAAATACAAAAACAGACAAAATGCTAAGTTGTTGTTCTCATAGAATTAATTTATTCCATGCTGAGATTCCTTTTGAGTCATTAAAACCATTAGTTTTCTTACATTTTGTGATAAGTTCTTTGTTCTTTTCAATGTTTGAAGTGTGGAGTGAATGTTGAAATCTGGCTGGTCATTGCGTACAGCTAAACAAACTTTTATTGTTATGAGCATCTGTGAAGTATAAACGAATATGCTTAGAATAAAGAGAAACTTGCCTTTTTCACTTCCAAGTCAAGAGGGCCTAAAATAAACTGGCTTTCCTGCTCGTAACTACTGGATCCAGCAAAGGATTTCAAAGTCTGGGGACCGGAATGTTTGGAGGTGTCCAAAGACACCCAAGAGAAGCACCCATTCTCAACAATAATCTTTGTGTTAGAGTCTGCATAAAAAAAAGGAATACCTAAAACTCAAAAAAAATTAATACCCTAAAAATAATAAAGAGTGGAATACTCTTACAGTATTACACATGATTTAACTAAAGTTAAAAGAGAGTCAGTATTAGATGCACAAGTGAGTTTATTTAAAAAAAATAATTATTTATTTCTCATAAACATGATTTAGCTCTACTAAGAAATGTTTAAATAATACTTTCAATTGAAACAACTCACCAATTGGATCTGTGTAATATTCATCTAAGTGTAAGTCTTGTATTTGAAGAAATTTCTGTACACGATTCAAAGAAACCCAAGCTTCCATGAGGCCATTCAATACCCAAGGGAATGCATTGAGTGGCATGATTAACATGTTAAACAAAGCCAGGCTAGTGAACACCTGTTGAGACATACAATTAGAAACAACAATACATTTTAGACAACAATAAATCACCACCATTAAAAAATGATTAACATGTTAAACAAAGCCAGGCTAGTGAACACCTGTTGAGACATACAATTAGAAACAAGAAAACATTTTAAACAACAATAAATCACCAACCTTAAAATATTTAGAAAGAACTGAAACTAAATAAAGTAAAGAAAAACCTTATCTACTAAACCATATCAACTAAAGCTGTTGCTAACACATTGTATGCTAAGAAAACTAACAGAAGAAAAGGAAAATTTTTAATGGACTTGGCATGGTCCACACTGGAGTATAAAATGTATATCTATACTGAAAAGTAAAAATGTTAAACTTCAGAAAAAACAGTATTTTGTGCTCTACACTGTAAAAGCAATTCCAAAATATGGCTTTTTTTTAAATTGCCATTAATATTTGTATAAACTGAAATCTTAAGTTAATTCCAATACATGGCTTATATTTTTACTGTCATCAATACCTGTATAATGTGAAATCTTACTAAACATATCACTCTGTTAAAATAATTTACATTAGAAGTTTTTAGTACTTTTGTTATCATTTCAGAAAGATGTTGTGTTCTTGACGTGAAAATCACAAATTTAGTTTTTGATCTCTGTCAATTCCGTGTAATGTTTTTAATATGACACAAGTATTTAATAATTAATTCTTGAATAAACTAAAATAAAACATCAAATTTTAACAGTTTAGAAAGCTTATTGTTTAGCTGTAAGAACACTGAAATAAGAACAATTAACAGACACAAGGATTTTAAATCATTTTTGTACCTCTGATGACACGGCAAAAGTTACCTCCTTCAGCCATTTGATAGTTACTCTTGAAAGACAGACAATAACTCCATCAACTAATTAGTTATATTTATATACAAGCAAAAGTGCTCATCCCCAGTGACAGGAAAAGTTTATGTTAATCAATCAATTTAAATTACTTCATAGACTTTAAAAAAGTTAATTGTATTTCACTCTTGGTTTCACTTAGAGCCCAAGCTCTGAGCTACTTATACCACCCACCGTGAAAAGTAATTGTTGAACATTTCAGTCATGCTAAGAGCCGCTCAACAATAACATACAGTAAATCTACATTTTTATTCTTTAAGTTATGTCATATTTTGAAATATGAATAATAATGTGATTAATTCCTAACAATTTAGTGTAGAATATCGTGCTCGTGAAATAAAATTTGGCATCAACATTTGTTGTCCCGTCATTTCAAAAGTGGATGTTGAGCTTTGGCTGCGTGTGCAGCTTTTCAAATGCAGTGGAGAAAGTAGCCGCCGTAAACAAGAGATGGACGAATATTTGGACACACGCAACAGTTTGAAATATATATATTCTTCTTCAATATATCATCCTCATTAGTTTCAATTACACTAATTAAATGCAGTGCCTTCCAAATTTACATACAGGAAGAGTTTTATATTTACAGAAGTAGCAACCTTTTGGGTGCATTCAGATTTTCACTAAAATAAAACTTGCTTTAAGGTAAAAAAGGTCAAAGTAACTAACAAAATAGTTTCAGCATAATATTTTAACTCAGCAGGTTTATAAATGTCTTGTTTTTAGTGAAGTCACAACAGTATTACACATTATGATACACTTGTGACAATGACAACTATAAAAACATACATATACATGCAAATGGCATAGGTCTTTCATTACTGTAAGTACATCAACCACTGACAATCAGTTGTGATTCCAAAAAATTAAATTTTTTAATTTACTAGTAAACTTCCTGACACTGAATAATAACAGAAGTTATAGTGCGTTTTGAATGTTGGATGATGAAGGAGGAAAATGTTATACTGAATACTAAAGTAAAAATACTGATGAGTTATATGTTATACTGTGTTCTGACTGTAAGAATCCTGATGAGTTATATGTTATACTGTGTTCTGAATGCAGGAAGACTGATGAGTTATATGTTATACTGTGATCTAAATGTAAGAAGAGAGGAGTTATATGTTATACTGTGGTCTAAATGTAGGAAGACTGATGAGTTATATATTATACTGTGATCTAAATGTAAGAAAAGAGGAGTTATATGTTATACTGTGATCTAAATGTAAGAAGAGAGGAGTTATATGTTATACTGTGTTCTGAATGTAAGAAAATCTATTCAACTACACGTGATAAGTATTTTTTCTCTCTCTTATTTAAGAGATCTATCCTATTAGAGGTGATGAATACGTTTTTCTCTTTATTATTTAACAGAACTATCCCACTACAGGTGATGAGTATGTTTTCTCTCTCTTTTTTAACAGATCTACCCTACTACAGATGATGAGTATGTTTTCTCTCTCTTATTTAACACATCTATCCTATTAGAGGTGATCAATATGCTTTTTCTCTCTTTTTTAACATATCTATTTTACTACAGGTGATGAGTATGTTTTCTCTCTCTCATTTAACAGATCTATCCTACTACATGTGTAGAGTATGTTTTTCTCTCTCTTTTTTAACAGATCTATCCTACTACAGGTGTTGAGTATGTTTTCTCTCTCTTATTTAACAGATCTATCCTACTACAGGTGTTGAGTATGTTTTTTCTCTCTTATTTAACAGAACTATCCTACAACAGGTGATGAGTATGTTTTCTCTCTCTTTTTTAACAGATCTATCCTACTACAGGTGTTGAGTATGTTTTCTCTCTCTTATTTAACAGAACTATCCTACAACAGGTGATGAGTATGTTTTCTCTCTCTTTTTAACAGATCTATCCTACTACAGGTGATGAGTATGTTTGCTCTCTCTTATTTAACACATGTATCCTATTAGAGGTGATGAATATGTTTTTCTCTCTCTTTTTTAACATATCTATTTTACTACAGGTGATGAGTATGTTTTCTCTCTCTCTTTTAATAGATCGATCCTACTACAGGTGTTGAGTATGTTTTCTATCTCTTATTTAATAAAAACATACTCATCACCTGTAGTAGGATAGATCGTTAAATAAGAGAGAGAAGATCTATCCTATTAGAGGTGATGAGTATATTTTCTCTCTCTCTTTTAACAGATCTATCGTACTACAGGTGTTGAGTATGTTTTCTCTCGCTCTCTCTTATTTAACAGATCTATCCTACAACAAGTGATGAGTATGTTTTCTCTCGCTCTCTCTTATTTAACAGATCTATCCTACTACAGTTGATGAGTATGTTTTCTCTCTCTCTTTTAAAAGATCTATCCTATTAGAGGTGATGAGTATGTTTTCTCTCTCTCTTTTAACAGATCTATCCTACTAGAGGTGTTGAGTATGTTTTCTCTAGGATAGATCTGTTAAATAAGAGAGACAACAAGTGATGAGTATGTTTTCTCTCGCTCTCTCTTATTTAACAGATCTATCCTACTACAGGAGATGAGTATGTTTTCTCTCTCCTTTTTAACAGATCTATCTTACTACTGGTGTTGAGTATGTTTTCTCTCTCTTTTTTAACAGATCTATCTTACTACAGGTGTTGAGTATGTTTTCTCTCTCTCTCTTTTAACAGATCTATCCTATTAGAGGTGATGAGTATATTTTCTCTCTCTTATTTCACTGATCTATCCAACTACAGGTGATGAGTATGTTCTCTCTCTCTTATTTAACAGATCTATCCTACTACAGGTGATGATAATGTTTTCTCTCTCTTATTTAACAGATCTATCCTACTACAGTTGATGAGTATGTTTTCTCTCTCTCTCTTTAAAAGATCTATCCTATTAGAGGTGATGAGTATGTTTTCTCTCTCTCTTTTAACAGATCTATCCAACTACAGGTGGTGGTGAGTATGGTTTTTCTCTATTATTTAACAGAT